AAATGGAATGTGAGTCAACGCGTGGAAAATCATTCCTTCCATCTCCATAGCAGCCTTTGCAAGTAACCAGCATTTCTTGGTGTGGTGAAGCAGAGGGCATCCTCCTAACCTGAACCAGCCTTGAATATTTGTTTGATGGTTACCTCCTGAATTATGGACAGTTGCCAATGGAAATATGGACCACAACAAGAAGAATATAGAGTCTGCATAATTGCTGAAAATTTGGGGAGTACAGCTTCTGACTTGCAGGTGGCCTAAAGGTCCATGAGGCATGAACAACGCAAGAGGAAATTCTCACCTTGGATCACAGACAGAACAAGCTGGTACACGTACCAATGATTGGTGGATCAGCAAATGGAGCGGGTATCAACTTCAGAAAATCATTCCTTCCTTCTCCACGACATCCTGTGCAAGTGCCCGGTGCTTCTAGGTCTGGGGAAGCATGGGACATCCTCCTAATTTGGACCAGCCTTGAATATTTGTTTAATGGTCACCCCCTGAATAATGGTCAGTTCTCAGTGGGAGGCTGGACCACAACATGATGGACTATGCATAGTAGCTGGAAATTTGGACCTTGACTGGTAGATGACATAAGAGGTCCATGAGAAATGGACAACTCAAGAGGAAAGAACAAGCTGGTACATGCACCACTGATTGGTGGATCAGCAAATGGAGCGAGTATCAACTTCAGAAAATCATTCCTTCCTTCTTGCCTTTGAAAATGCCCGGCACTTCTAGGTCTGGGGAAGCATGGGACATCCTCCTAATTTGGACCAGCCTTGAATATTTGTTTAATGGTCACCCCCTGAATAATGGGCAGTTCTCATTGGGAAGCTGGATCACAACATGATGGACTTTGCATAGTTGCTGGAAATTTGGACCTTGACTGGTAGATGACATAAGAGGTCCATGAGAAATGGACAACTTAAGAGGAAAGATCAAGCTGGTACACGTACCACTGATTGGTGGATCAGCAAATGGAGCGAGTATCAACTTCAGAAAATCATTCCTTCCTTCTTGCCTTTGAAAATGCCCGGCACTTCTAGGTCTGGGGAAGCATGGGACATCCTCCTAATTTGGACCAGCCTTGAATATTTGTTTAATGGTCACCCCCTGAATAATGGACAGTTCTCATTGGGAAGCTGGATCACAACATGATGGACTTTGCATAGTTGCTGGAAATTTGGACCTTGACTGGTAGATGGCACAAGAGGTCCATGAGAAATGGACAACTCAAGAGGAAAGAACAAGCTGGTACACGTACCACTGATTGGTGGATCAGTAAATGGAGCAAATATCAACTTCAGAAAATCATTCCTTCCTTCTCCACGACAGCCTTTGCAAGTGCCCGGCACTTCTAGGTCTGGGGAAGCATGGGACATCCTCCTAATTTGGACCAGCCTTGAATATATGTTTATAATAGCTGCTGAAAATTTGGACCTTGACTGGTAGATGGCATAAGAGGTCCATGAGAAATGGACAACTCAAGAGGAAAGATCAAGCTGGTACACGTACCACTGATTGGTGGATCAGCAAATGGAGCGAGTATCAACTTCAGAAAATCATTCCTTCCTTCTTGCCTTTGAAAGTGCCCGGCACTTCTAGGTCTGGGTAAGCATGGGACATCCTCCTAATTTGGACCAGCCTTGAATATTTGTTTAATGGTCACCCTTTGAATAATGGGCAGTTTTCAGTGGGAGGCTGGACCACAACATGATGGACTTTGCATAGTTGCTGGAAATTTGGACCTTGACTGGTAGATGACATAAGAGGTCCATGAGAAATGGACAACTCAAGAGGAAAGAACAAGCCGGTACACGCACCACTGATTGGCGGATCAGTAAATGGAGAGCGAGCCGTTCCTTCCTTCTCATTCTCAAGTTTAATATACACCTGACATAAATCAAGCCATTTTGTATTACTTAATGTTACAGTCATCGAATTAATCATCATCACAGAGAAGTCAAGGCTGCGATCTTTAATGCAGTTTTATTAAGCCCAGCCGAGGCCATGTGCCGGTAATAAGACGCGCGCTATGCCATTTGATATTCTAAAACTATAACTTCATAAAAGTAAAATACACAATTCACAACATATGTTCAGCACAAAGCCGAAAACGCCATTCTAAATGGGTTCAAAAATGAATCTTTATGACTTGCTTGTTTGACATCTCATTATATTCCTATTTGAGATCGTTACATTTACTGTTGGTTACACGAGCCTGGAAAATATCCGGAAAAGTTTTCATCCTTTTGATGGTTTAAAGGTGCACTCCAGTCCAAACTGAAAGCAAAGCCCTGTAAAGCGTGCAAGGAGACCCAGCTGGCTTGCACGGAGTTTGCATTTTTGATCCAGCCATGACCGCGCGGGTATCGGCTCACGGCACTTCCTTTTGTCGGTAATCTGATTGACAGGGAGGGGGCCTAGCACTGGGGGGGCTGTGAGGCTTAAAGCATATGTAAACCCTAACTGAGTGAAATTTGGTCTGCTAAAGCTCCGTGTATCATAAACAACTGCCATTTTTTGCTATCTTTTGTTGAATCTATTTCATGCCTCTATGCACTCCACCGATGGCTGCATGGCATTTCCCATGGTGGTTTTTCTGAATGTGCCAACAATGGACCATGCCTGTGCAATGTGAATTGGTATGGCCAGTTGTAGTCTTCATAGGAAGTCCATGTGACAAGGTGACCAAAGATTTCTGAAACTAAGAAAAAGCAGTTAATACTGTATTAGGAAGTGTCTGTTGCATGTTCACAACTACTTTCAATGTAATTTTGGGATGTGGGTTTACATACAGTATACTGCCTGATAGGAGAGAAGTCAGGACCCCATATACAACCTGGACCCAACATCTATGGAGCTATAAAGGGACTTGGACCACTCTTCAGTGAGATCTCCAGACCAAAGTCCTTGGGTGAGGGTTCTCTTTAAAAGCATAAAAATGGATCTCTGGTGGTAGGCGCCCCAGCTATGCCAAAGCTGGCAACTCAATGAGTATTCAGAAGAGATGTTGCATATGGGGGTAGCCAACCCCTTATCCAGATGAGAAGATTCCCTCAACGGGGAGAAAAGGAGAACCCCACTGCTCTAAATCACTTTTTATGTGTCTCTCCAGCTACCTTCTGGGCACACCTCCCCAGGGATTGGCTGGAACACAATAAACATTCAGGCTGCCAATTTGCCTTGCTCAACCTATGGAAAGAATGTCCATTACATTGGGGGGTCGGTGGGTAGGATGGCCCTTACATTGGTGGTCAGTGGGAAGAATGCCCCTTACATTGGAGGTCAGTGGGAAGAATGTCCCTTACATTGGGGGTCAGTGGGAAGAATGTCCCTTACATTGGGGGTCAGTGGGAAGAATGTCCCTTACATTGGGGATCAGTGGGAAGAATGTCCCTTACATTGGGGATCAGTGGGAAGAATGTCCCTTACATTGGGGGTCAGTGGGAAGAATGTCCCTTACATTGGGGGTCAGTGGGAAGAATGTCCCTTACATTGGGGATCAGTGGGAAGAATGTCCCTTACATTGGGGGTCAGTGGGAAGAATGTCCCTTACATTGGGGGTCAGTGGGAAGAATGTCCCTTACATTGGGGATCAGTGGGAAGAATGTCCCTTACATTGGGGGGTCAGTGGGAAGAATGTCCCTTACATTGGGGGTCAGTGGGAAGAATGTCCCTTACATTGGGGATCAGTGGGAAGAATGTCCCTTACATTGGGGGGTCAGTGGGAAGAATGTCCCTTACATTGGGGGTCAGTGGGAAGAATGTCCCTTACATTGGGGATCAGTGGGAAGAATGTCCCTTACATTGGGGGGTCAGTGGGAAGAATGTCCCTTACATTGGGGATCAGTGAGAAGAATGTCCCTTACATTGGGGGTCAGTGGGAAGAATGTCCCTTACATTGGGGATCAGTGGGAAGAATGTCCCTTACATTGGGGGGTCAGTGGGAAGAATGTCCCTTACATTGGGGATCAGTGGGAAGAATGTCCCTTACATTGGGGGTCAGTGGGAAGAATGTCCCTTACATTGGGGATCAGTGGGAAGAATGTCCCTTACATTGGGGGGTCAGTGGGAAGAATGACCCTTACATTGGGGGGTCAGTGGGAAGAATGTCCCTTACATTGGGGATCAGTGAGAAGAATGTCCCTTGCATTGGGGGGTCAGTGGGAAGAATGTCCCTTACACTGGGAGTCGGTGGGAAGAATGTCCCTTACATTGGGGGTCAGTGGGAAGAATGTCCCTTACATTGGGGGTCAGTGGGAAGAAAGTCCCTTACATTGGGGGGTCGGTGGGAAGAATGTCCCTTGCATTGGGGGGTCAGTGGGAAGAATGTCCCTTACACTGGGAGTCGGTGGGAAGAATGTCCCTTACATTGGGGGGGTCAGTGGGAAGAATGTCCCTTACATTGGAGGTCAGTGAGAAGAATGTCCCTTACATTGGTGGTCGGTGGGAAGAATGTCCCTTACATTGGAGGTCGGTGGGAAGAATGTCCCTTACATTGGAGGTCGGTGGGAAGAATGTCCCTTACATTGGGGGTCAGTGGGAAGAATGTCCCTTACATTGGGGGGTCAGTGGGAAGAATGTCCCTTACATTGGGGGTCAGTGGGAAGAATGTCCCTTACATTGGGGGTCAGTGGGAAGAATGTCCCTTACATTGGGGGTCAGTGGGAAGAATGTCCCTTACATTGGGCGTCAGTGGGAAAGAACGTCCCTTACATTGGTGGTCAGTGGGAAGAACGTCCCTTACATTGGGGGGGTCGGTGGGAAGAATGTCCCTTACACTGGGGGTCGGTGGGAAGAATGTCCCTTACATTGGGGGTCGGTGGGAAGAATGCCCCTTACACTGGGGGTCGGTGGGAAGAATACTCCTTACACTGGGGGTCGGTGGGAAGAATGCTCCTTACTCTGGGGGTCGGTGGCAAGATTGTCCCTTACACTGGGGGTCGGTGGGAAGAATGTCCCTTACATTGGAGGTCGGTGGGAAGAATGTCCCTTACATTGGTGGTCAGTGGGAAGAATGTCCCTTACATTGGTGGTCAGTGGGAAGAATGTCCCTTACATTGGGGGTCAGTGGGAAGAATGTCCCTTACATTGGGGGTCAGTGGGAAGAATGTCCCTTACATTGGGGGTCAGTGGGAAGAATGTCCCTTACATTGGTGGTCAGTGGGAAGAATGTCCCTTACATTGGGGGTCAGTGGGAAGAATGTCCCTTACATTGGGGGGGTCAGTGGGAAGAATGTCCCTTACATTGGGGGTCAGTGGGAAGAATGTCCCTTACATTGGGGGTCAGTGGGAAGAATGTCCTTTACATTGGGGGTCAGTGGGAAGAATGTCCCTTACATTGGGGGTCGGTGGGAAGAATGTCCCTTACATTGGGGGTCAGTGGGAAGAACGTCCCTTACATTGGGGGTCAGTGGGAAGAATGTTCCTTACATTGGGGGTCGGTGGGAAGAATGTCCCTTACATTGGTGGTCAGTGGGAAGATTGTCCCTTACATTGGGGGTCAGTGGGAAGAATGTCCCTTACATTGGGGGTCAGTGGGAAGAATGTCCCTTACATTGGGGGGGTCAGTGGGAAGAATGTCCCTTACATTGGGGGTCAGTGGGAAGAATGTCCCTTACATTGGTGGTCAGTGGGAAGAATGTCCCTTACATTGGTGACCTGATTTGCCATAAACAGTCCAGTCCTATCACCAGCACAACACTCAGGATGAGGATCAGATTTTGCCTGTATTCAGTATATACCTGAATTACTTGTATTGCCTATAGAGGAAAGCAGACCAAACTCATGGGGCCCCCGGGAAATAGGGGATCATGGGGCCCCTGTGTCCTTGCCCAATCTCAAAAAAGCCTATCAAAAAGGTACCAGGGGCATCTCATGGGGCCCCCTACTGAGGCTGTTTCCAAATGGTCAGTCCACCCCTGGACCAGACATCTTCCCCCCCTTCCTCGTTGTCCACCATCCAACCGATGGCTTTGGCAGGTTTTGGGTCACCATCCATCAGCAGAGTCAGCTCTGAGAAGATGAACACGATATTGTATCCGCGTTTCATTACAGAAAACAAATAATCTGCATTTTCAGGTATATTTTTCTTTATTGTAGATGAATCCTCTGTCACGTTTCCATGTGAACCCGTGGCCTGGCGTTCTGGGGAGGACATATTTCACGCTAATGAGCAGCTGGACCTGGCAGGTCGGGTTGGGGAGCGCAGGAAGGAAAAATAAACCGGCATCAGCGAAATATTCGGCATGTGCTCAGAAATTGTTTACATGTTTTCCTGTCTCAAGCCAACAAAGGAGGAAAACAAGCAGGTAAGGGCATGTTCCCCTGCAGCATATTTGGCCTTGTACCTGGATTGCACAAAAGCTTTGATTCGTTGCTTCGACAAGAGGGCTGAATCCACGAATCACGCACAGGAATGTCCTACGAGTCGTGATTCTTCCCGGCCTAGGAACATATTCTCACCATCGTCATCGACGCTGCATGGGTGGAAGCCCCCCCCCCCCCATAGAACAACTCGGGTCCTAATGGTGATACGAGGAGTAGTGGCGGCAGATTTGGGATTTTCAGCCCAGGAAGAGCTACTATAGGAAGAGTGTCAATGCCGTGCTGCCAACAAACTGACACGTCTACTGTCTACACCACTGGTGGTCAACGGTCTATCTTGTGATATACACTATGTTGCCAAAAATATTGGGCCCGCCCTCCAAATGATTGGATTCAGGTGTTCCCATCCCCTCCTTATCGTGTGATTCAGGTGTTCCAATCCCCTCCTTATCATGTGATTCAGGTGTTCCAATCCCCTCCTTATCGTGTGATTCAGGTGTTCCAATCCCCTCCTTATTGTGTGATTCAGGTGTTCCAATCCCCTCCTTATCGTGTGATTCAGGTGTTCCAATCCCCTCCTTATTGTGTGATTCAGGTGTTCCAATCCCCTCCATATCATGTGATTAAGGTGTTCCAATCCCCTCCCAATCATGTGATTCAGGCGTTCCAATCCCCTCCATATCATGTGATTCAGGCGTTCCAATCCCCTCCCAACCATGTGATTCAGGCGTTCCAATCCCCTCCCATCCATGTGATTCAGGTGTTCCAATCCCCTCCCATCCATGTGATTCAGGTGTTCCAATCCCCTCCAATCATGTGATTCAGTTGTTCCAATCCCCTCCCAATCATGTGGTTCAGGTGTTCCAATCCCCTCCCAATCATGTGATTCAGGCGTTCCAATCCCCTCCCAACCATGTGATTCAGGTGTTCCAATCCCCTCCCAATCATGTGATTCAGGTGTTCCAATCCCCTCCCAATCATGTGATTCAGGTGTTCCAATCCCCTCCAAATCATGTGATTCAGGTGTTCCAATCCCCTCCCAATCATGTGATTCAGGTTTTCCCATCCCCTCCATGTCATGTGATTCAGGTGTTCCAGTCCCCTCCATATCATGTGATTCAGGTGTTCCAATCCCCTTCCAAACATGTGATTCAGGTGTTCCCATCCCCTCCATATCATGTGATTCAGGTGTTCCAATCCCCTCCATATCATGTGATTCAGGTGTTCCAATCCCCTCTCAATCAGGTGATTCAGGTGTTCCAATCCCCTCTATATCATGTGATTCAGGTGTTCCAATCCCCTCCATATCATGTGATTCAGGTGTTCCAATCCCCTCCATATCATGTGATTCAGGTGTTCCAATCCCCTCCATATCATGTGATTCAGGTGCTCCAATCCCCTCTATATCATGTGATTCAGGTGCTCCAATCCCCTCCATGGACACAGGTGCATACAATCAAGCCCCTAGGCATGCAGACTGCTTCTACAAACATTGGTGAAAGAATGGGTCGCTCTCAGGAGCTCAGTGACTCCAAGCGTGGTCCCGTGATAGGTGGCCACCTGGGCAATAAGTCCATCCGTGACATTTCCTGGCTACTAAATATTCCACGCTCAACTGTTAGTGGGATTATAACAAAGTGGAAGCCACTGGGAACAACAGCCACTCAGCCACCAAGTGGTAGGCCACGTCACATGACAGGGTGGGGTCAGCGCATGCTGAAGCGCACAGTGCGCAGAAGTCGCCAACTGTCTGCAGAGTCAATAGCTAAAGACCTCCAAACTTGGTGTGGCCTTCAGATGAGCCCAACAACAGTGCGTAGAGAGCTTCATGGAATGGGTTTCCATGGCCGGCCAGCTGCATCCCAACCTTCCATCACCAAGTGCAATGCAAAGCGTCGGGTGCCGTGGTGTAAAGCACGCCGCCACTGGACTCTAGAGCAGGGGAGGCATGTTCTCTGGAGGGAACAATCACGCTTCTCTGTCTGGCAATCCGATGGACGTGTCTGTGTTTGGCAGTGGCCAAGAGAACGGTACTTGCCTGACTACATTGTGCCAGTTTGGTGGAGAGGGGGGGATTATGGTGTGGGGTTGTTTTTCAGGGGTTGGACTTGGCCCCCTAGTTCCAGTGAAGGGAACTCTTAAGGCGACATTTTGGACAATTTCATGCTCCCAACTTTGTGGGAGGAGTTTGGGGATGGCCCCTTCCTGTTCCAACATGACTGCGCACCAGCGCACAAAGCAAGGTCCATAAAGACATGGAGGAGCCAGTTTGGGGTGGAGGAACTTGACTGTCCTGCACAGAGTCCTGACCTCAACCCCATAGAACACCTTTGGGATGAATTAGAGCGGAGACTGCGAGCCAGGCCCCCTCCCCCGACATCAGTGCCTGACCTGACAAATGTGCTTCTGGAAGAATGGTCCAACCTTCCCATAGACACCCTCCTAAACCTTGTGGATGGCCTTCCCAGAAGATACAATGTAACAAAATGTATGAGGATCATAGTAACAAACTCCTGGTCTGACCCAAGAATCCCTCCCATCCCTCCTTCAAATCACCCAGTAACCCTCCCCCGCAGTCCCTAATAAACCAGCTAAAATATAAATAAAGCTTTACACACAATGATACGGTAAATGGAAGAGTCCTCCAATTATATGGCCACCAAGTATTGTAGTCTTGTGTACTACTGAGGACAGCGGCCTGTTCCCGAGTTTAGGGTTCTCGCAGGCGCTCCCCTCCCACCAGTGCCCATTGTGTTTGTACGCAGCAGGAGTCTGTCAGCAAGTTCCAGCCAATGATTCACAACCGGGATCTGCTGATCAACTCTGTCCAATCACAGCCCAGAGCTCTGTGCTTGACAATCAACACAGACCTCTGTACAGAGGGAACGGTCTCTCTGCTTCTCATCCCTGCAAAGCAGGGATGGCAAACAAAGAGATCTGTTCGTAAATCAGCGCACATTACACATTGTTAGGCACACATTTAACCCCTTGATCGCCCTAGATGTTAACCCCTTCCCAGCCAGTGTCACTAGTACAGTGTATAGTATTATCACTGATCACTGTATTAGTGTCACTGGTGATGTCAGTGGCAGTTAGTTAATCCTCCCCTCCCCCCTCAACATCAGTTAGTGTCAGATTGCACACCGTACTATAATAGTCGCTGATCACCGCCATTAGTAGTAAAAAAATAAATAAAAATCTCACTATATCTATACCACACTTTGTGGACACTTTAACTTTCATGCAATCCAATCAATATGCTCTTATTGAATTTTTTTTTTTTACCAAAGACAAGTAGCAGAATACATTTTGGCCTACATTTATGAAGAAGTTTTTTTTAAATTATTATTATTATACAGGATTTATGGCGCCAACAGTGTGCTCAGCGCTGTACAATATAACGGGAGACAATACAGCAACAATACAGATCAATACAAGAGGGATAGGAGGGCCCTGATCCTGGGAGCTTACAATCTAGGAGGGAGGGGCTAGTGGTACAAGAAGTAGTAACTGTGGGGGATGGACTGGTGGGAGGAGTAGAAGATTCCAGTATTAGCTGAGGGCAGGATAGGCTTCCCTGAAGAGATCGGTTTTCAGAGATCGCCTAAAAGTGAGCAGAGTAGGTGATAGTCTGATAGATTGGGGTAGAGAGTTCCAGAGGATGGGGGAAGCTCTGGAGAAAACCTGGAGACGAGCATGGGAGGAGGAGACAAGGGAGCTAGAGAGTAGGAGGTCATGTGAGGAGCGGAGAGAACGGTTTGGGTGATATTTAGAGACAAGATCGGTGATGTAATTTGAGGCAGAGTTATAAATGGCTTCATATGTTATTGTTAGTGTTTTGAATTTTATCCGTTGG